CACTGCTTCTGGGAATCCTTGGAACCACAAGTGAGCCTGCAGTCTGAGAGCAAAGATATGTTTCTTTAGCACAGTCCACAGATTATTGATGGGGTTCAAGTCAGTATGTTGGGAAGGCCCTTCTAAAACTGTAATTATAGCCTGATTTGGCCATGTCTTTACCACTTTGATATGTGTTTGGGGTCATTGTTTTATTGGAACAACTAACTGCATCCAAGAGCCAACCTTCTGGCTTATGATTTGATGTTTTCCTGAAGAATGTGGACGTAATCCTCCTTCTTTATTATTCAATTTTCTTTATGTAAAGCATCACTTCAGAGAGGAGCCTGATAACTGAAGGCTCTGCCTCCCATCGTACTTCTGGAAACTCTGGGAACCACAAGTAAACTTGATATTGCACAATAAGGTCTTTTATATATGATGGAACTTGGTCATTAAGAACTTTATAGGTGAGGAGAAGGATTTTATTTCTGTTCTGGATTTTCTAGGGAGCCAACAAAGAGGTGCTAATATGGGCAAAATATGACCTCTCTTACTGGTTCCTGTCAGAATTTTGGCTGCAGCATTTTATTTTTGGGACATCCTGATAAAAAGGAATTACAATAGTTCAGTCTAGAAATTACAAATTCATGGACTAGTTTTTCAGCATCACAATGAGACAGGATGTTGCTAATTTTGACAATGTTGTGCAGCTAAAAGAAGGCCGTTGTAAAGACCTACTGTATGTGAGACTTAAAGGACATATCCTTGTCAATTGTAACTCTATGGTTCTGCCCAGTAGTGCTGGCAACCAAGACAATTTTTTTTCAACTGTTCTTTGCTGGAGGCATTATGTTGCCCTAATTTTTTAGTTAAAATACATGTAAAAGTCCTCTGTTGCACTCAAGTTAGGCGACATACTTTCCATATCACTTCCTTTTTCTTTTTTAGAAACTCTTCTGTGAGTTTGGCCAAATGGATTGGATTGGTATACCTCCTCTGCTAAGCTTCGGGAGACAGAAAGTAATCTTGTCAGCCAGTATTTTAATAAATCCACAGACATTCATAGTACTGTCTATAAATGTTATATCCCCAGCAGCTTTCGCACTCATGTAGACCTCTGTCATCACACTCCTACATCTGTGATTCACTGTATGGACTAGACATGCACTGTAGTAGTTCACTGTGTGACCAGGTTCACACAAAACACAGAAGACCACACTGAACCGAACAGACCTTGTTCTTGTCTGATCAAACAATGTGCTCCCAGTATTCATTACGCTTCTTTTCATGTTCTTTAACAAGGTTTCATTTTGCAGTTTTGTTTCGAACAGCAAGCAAATGTATCCATAGAGGATGACAGTATGTAGGTCCTTTACACTGTCTCAGTTGTCAGCAAAACCTAGATTTTTCTTGATAACGCCTATGCGTTTTAGGAAGCATTTGCCTGTCTGTTTTTCAATGCTAGCTTGTGCAAAAAGTACACTTTCCATGCTGTAAGTTTAGAAGGACAACCACTGTAGCTCAGATTAGTTGTACGGTACAGTGCTGGCAATTCCTCAACCATTCACGCTGTTGTTGCTGTTGGACCACATGGTTTCACAACTATTGTACTATAGCTGTGTCCTGGGTCATTATGGACCATTAGTCATGTGAGCTGAGGTGATTGTATGTATCTGAAACCCCCCATCTGTCAGTTACAACTGAAGACGACTCTTGGATGAGAGGTGAAATGTCTTCAAGGACTGAAAAGACATATCCAGTTGCTTTTTACTGACGCTCATAGGACTTCGTAATCAACTTCTTTGCCATTTTAATTTGGAGCTGTTGTGTAAGTAAATGTAGGAAAAAGACTCTTTTCTTTTGCTGGTTGTCAGCAGTCCTTATGCGACTCAAAACAGCTGAACTATCCAACGTATACATCCATAGATGAGCGAAGCTGCTCATCTGCTGCTCATCTGCAGCTCTGTAGGGCTATGCAGCAGCTAGCTAAAATCACAGCCTTCCTCCACTCCTTCCAGCTTAAGTAAACTCTAATAATGTTGTTCTTTGATGCATTAATAACCTCTTCCTCCCTACTGGGCTGCGGGGCCAACATTCGAACAGCACCCTGCACATCCTTGCCTGACATGCACTCTTTAATTATTTCTTTCTATGAGTGTTGGAGCGAAACGAGAGGAAGAGGAAAGTGATGACATACTTCTAATGAATCCTTGAATAAATAATATTGCTGTCTAAGCTTAAGGCATCCTGAATCAGCCTTAGTGGGGCAGAGGTGGGATACAGAAAAGGAAAAGGGCAGATAAAATGATGCTAAAAACTGGAGAAAAAAAATAGAAATGGAGGTTGAGAACACGTCTGACTTTATTCTCAGTGGTGGTTCCACTGTTTTTCTGCAGCTCAGGTCATTGTGGTCAGTCACAACTACACATCATCAAACTATCACAATTTCAACCTTCTTGACACTAGATTTGTTTATTTAAGTACACCTCTCTGTGGCCCTTCTACTTCTCTTTCTACAATGAACGCAGCAGTAATGGCTTGGTGCCATTTACTGTTACAGGTCTCCACCACTCCAGAGAGACCACAAAGTATAGAACAAAAATAGCAAAAAGGTACATTAGCATCCTCAGATTGAACACCACAGGTTACACATGTATATGAAACGATAACTTCATAAAACGTTTTTGTTTTTTTTAAAGTCATGCCTATATGTGCATGCAGTTGATGCATATCTGACACATATTGATTGCATTCGTATTTTTCCCAATTCTTAGAAAAATAAACATAAGTCCTGAAGCTAATGTGATTGTTATTATGTTATTGTCAAACCTGATTCTATTCTGCACCCAATTTTCATCCTGTCTGTTGGGTAGTAACATTGACTGACAACATACTTGCACTCACCTGTTTCTATGCAGCAGCTTAAGGATTACAGCACATTAAAGTTTTGTATCTACAATGCTCATATTTTTGATTAGAATTCTTGAGCATTTGTAAAATAAAATAATGACAGAAATCTAAAATAGAAAAATCCATCCTAAGGTCCAATGGCAAAATGGCATTCCCCAACAAATAATAAGTTTGATCACTTGTTTTTTAGTAGTTAATTACTTAAAGGGACACTGACTGACCACGTGTTGTAATCAGCACCTGATTTGCATTTCATAAACCTATTTCCAGTGGTTTTGGGACATTATTGTGCTCAAAGCTAATGTCTCTGCATATACCTGTGACATAAGTATAATGTAGCTCGATTATTATGTGGTCTTTAAATGTGTTTCTTGACTGGACACATTCTCTTCCAGAAGGAAATGATTCAACTGAGCAGCAGCTGCATGTTTTCACTCTGCCGTGTGTGTATTGTGTCCTGCATGTTTCTGTGTTAGTGTGTATGTGCTTGTGTGTGGCACCAACTGTCCTTCACTGTGGCCATTTCTCTGCTTATCAGAGGCAGTGTGAGATTGAGGGCCATCACCCACACTCTGTTGCCATAGTGAAGGCAGATGGAGGGCAGCTTGACTGACAGCTGATTCCACCACACACATTTCTTCTCCCTCATGCTTTTTGATGCTCTACTTTCTATGCAGTCACCTCACACACTGAGGCTCGGTCTGACGTATAGTAACTGATCACCTTTCTATATTTTATGTCAGCACACCAGCAAGAATATCCTGCGGTGTGTTTTTGCCACAGTCACCATTGGGTGAAACTGTACAAAATGGTTGGTGTTGGCCCAGATCTAGTTGCTAAGGGCAACTAGACAACTGATACTGAGCTGTGTCACTGACTCTGCCAATCAACAATGACACTCATCCTGGATTTTGTTATACCAGTAGCCTTCCCAAATCTTGACACTACCCTTCAGTTTGCAGCTGAGTTTCAAAACCTGAGCAGCAGATTTTATTAAACGAATACAAAATAAAGTGAGAGTAGAAAAGAATTCCAATATTTTATTCCAATCAGATCATAATATGAATAAGACTTAGAGATACAATTACAAATTAATATTTGTATCAGTTGTTGAATGTAAATTGAAATGCTGTGTAGTTTTAGGCAATACCTGAATGTAAAATAAGAATAACTTCTTTAGACTAGAGCAACTTTGCTTGTTCTATGGTTTTGAGCTGACAATAGACAGGCAATGAATTCAAGTGACAGAAATCTTATTCATTTATAGGAAAAGCTCCCCAAGTTTTGTAATGATCAATGCATGACATTATGCATGCACATAGGTTTGTTTGTTTTTTTGTTTTTTTTTGTTGTTTTTATTTTTTTTTACCATATTTGAGAAACTGCATGCTGTTATGTTTACACTGAACACATGATCAGTGACATATTGACATATTTGTTGGTATATTATGTCAATGTGGGAGATTTATCCAACAAAATTCACCTAATGTAAAAACAATAGAGTGTGTCATACATAAAGATGGCTGACTCATGTTGGTTTCCTCTCGCTGTACAATAGTGAAGACAAAATATGGAAAAAATAGGCACTCCTATTTTCTCCGGGTGGTGTCTTTTGCAAACAATCTGAACTTTAGTGACTAAGAGGCATTCTAACTTTCCTTCTGGGGTTAGTATTTATGCCATGTGTCCTTTCATACAGTCTGTGGTACAATCAGTGTTTTTCCCAAAGTTTGTCTTTATAGCTCAGTTTGCTTTTGAAAGTTTTATTCAGCTGAATTCTTTGGACACTCCCCAAACAAACAGGCAGGTCTCATAGATCTGTTACTCGTGTATCTGACTGTAGTAGCAGTTCCGTGCCAAGTATGAAAAGCAGAACACGTCTCTGGGTTCTAGTTGAATTTGAGAGTGTATTCGTTTTTCGAAGAAATTTAATACTCTGTACTGTTTTACTTTGGATTTTGATTAAAATAGGCCAATGAATGTGCACATTTCCATATAGTCACATAAATTATTACAGTTTACATGCCATTTACAACATGTTTTATGAGTGTATTGTTGACGTGTTAACCCCTATTTCATCCTTTTCTTTGCTCATTTTGATTGCTCAGATTGGGCAGCTGGTGTTTAAGGGGATGAAGCGTCTGAACAGGATCCAGTCCATGGTGTTTGAGACGGCCTACAACACCAATGAAAACCTTCTGATCTGCGCTCCAACCGGTGCTGGCAAGACCAACATCGCCATGCTGACTGTCCTTCATGAGATACGCCAGCACCTGCAGCCCGGTGGCGTCATCAAGAAGGATGAATTCAAGGTGTGATGCTTTCACACACACACACAAACATGCAAACTAGGTTTCCAAAACATAGAGGTCGCTTATTGCGGCCCTTTAACCTGGACTGGCTGTAATATTAGTGCTTGTCATGCAAAATCCCTTCTCCGATTTCTGTGTAATCTCTACAAATTTGGAAAATAACTGTCATGTTTTTATTGGCACTCCACCATGGTGTCCCTGAACACACCCTATGCAGGGTTTACATCATTGTCTCAGACTTCAGGCCATACGTCAATGTGAGCGTTCTGATAGTTTTAAATCATGGATAATTTAATTAAGTCAGAAAATCATTGTTTTTTTTTTTATCACTTCAAAAAGCTTAGTCTGTTTTGTTGACTTGTCCAGCGTGCTTGTCATTAAACCTCACTGGGGATCTGTACTGTCTTTATGTATGAAATTATTACAATATATCTACAGCAGTTTAACATGACATGAAAACACTAAAAGTTAAAACAATGAATAAGAAGCAATGTATGTTATTCTTTCCTAATTAAAAACTGCAGGGAAACCTATTCCCATTTCTGTCACCTTCTACCTAACGTGCACACAGTGGCAGTTGGGAAAGCCTTGAACTGATCCACCTGCTATTTATGGGTATTAAACCAATTAACAATCCTAAAGGGAAAACCCAAACATTACAGCATGACAAAAGCTAATTTTCTGTGCAGATGTTCAATAAGAATTACGTTATTGTTATAAACTATTACATATTCTCATCTATTTTCTTACAGTAAACATTGGATTTCCTTGTCATTGCAGTAGATTATGATTGCATTTGATGGATTTCCATTATGTTTTATTATAAATGTATTATTTTAAATATAAACTGTTTTAGTGTGTTTTATAGGAATGTTTTGCCATGAAAGAAATGTGCTCTTTGTTTATTATGCAGCATATGTAGTTATAAACTGCCACTGTTACTCCTCTTCTGGCAAAAAGTCAGTAAGGTGAAGTGAAAGACTTCTAATATTGGTATCATATGACTGCAGGCGTGATGAGGGATAGAGCAGCAATTGCTGACATCTTAGTTTGGTTGTGACCTTCAATGACTATTATTGTATTCCCTCTGTGTACACTGTATTCTTTCTTGTGTTCCGTCTGGTATTTATAGTCTTTACTTACGTACTTCCTGCCTTCCTACTTGCCTCACACCTTACGTCCTACAGATTACAGCAAAAGGTAAATATACCCCAGTGCAAAATCATTTAAATGAAAAAACAAATAAATAAATAATAAAATTAAATTACCTTACAGCAATTGAATTACTTCTCAGTTGAACTGTAGGTTATTGGCTCTTAAGTAAAACTGAAAACTTACAGATTGGATTTAGATTTTTTAACATAAAGGCCCCACTGCAGGAACTCAAAACGACCAAAGTCAGTAACCGCACAGACGTTGAAATATTGTATTTTGTCAGTACTTCCTTTGTCCACTGTTACTTTGGGTGACACTCTGCATGGAGGACCAGTGAAGTAGCAATTCGTGGAGAGTTGTTCTGTTATTCTTCCGACACTTCTTAAAAAATATTCGGCTGCTCTTAGCTGGAGGGGTTGTGTTGCTCTCATTTTCTCTTTAAAATACTGAAAAGGTATTCTATCGAGTTCAAGTCACGGCCAACAGTCTTGACCAATTCAGAGCTCAACTTGGCTCTCTGTCTCATCTAATCAAAGAATTCTCTTTATTTTCATCAGGCTTCTTTTTGTTCTTTTAGCAAGTTTTGTGTCAAAGGGCAGATGAAGATTTTATTTTATTTTTTTCTGAATGCAGTGAATAGAAGCTGACATTAGCCAATGTCCTCCACACTGTCTCAGCTGTCACAGAAACTCTGATTTCTATTAACAACCACTGCAAGTGCTGAAGCACCAGCCCATTTATTTTACCTGTGGCATCATTTTAGGAGGATGGACACTGTGCGCCTGGTTCGTGGTTCAATGGTTTGTTGAACACCTTCCGATGATTTCTGCAACTGTTTTTTTTTTTGGCAGATTTTTAAGTTGATTACTGATTATCCTAAATCCTTTCCCATCTTTGATCTTCATAATCAGATTTTTCATTTGGTCTGACAGTTTTTTCTACATGGAGGTATGATGCAGACACGCAGACAGACACAGCCCATAGGTCCAAAACAATGTGGTGTTTACAGGTCAGCTTATAAGAGTGTTCATGCAGTTAGCTCAGTGGTAAGTTATAGGTGTATTCAACTTGGTTCAATGATTTCAAGTCATTGCAACTTGTGTGCCACTTTTGTAGCATCAAATTTCTGGGGCCAATATTTTCAATTTAGGCTTTCTAAGGAAATTGTTTTTGGTTGTTATTTAATGGAAAGAAGCTACTTGCCAAATTAGTGATAATGCGGTTTTTGACATGTAAATGATATTCTACGGAGGTGTCTTGACTTCTGTTGTATAGTATATTTATGTTTCCATCTTCTACCTGTTATTCTACTTAACTTCCATTTCAGACATTGAAAATCTTAAACTTGTAACACTTTGATATCTTTTGATAATTTTTTACACATCTTACAAGTCCCAAAGGATGATTCTGGTTTGTTTTGACCTAATGTATTTTCCATTATCAAAGCTAATGTGGCTTCATCGATCACGCTAACGTTGCAATATCCATCTCCGTTGTAAAGAATCGGGGAAATTAGGATGTGGACAGCAGCAGGACAACAGTGTATATTGGGGTGATTAGTGCATGCTACTGCAACTTTAATGTAAATATATATACATACATACATTTATTTTTTTATTTTTATATTTTCTTACCAGAATCATTTTGACTGAAAGTAACAGAAATTTGCCATCTGGACTGGAATTTGTGCTTTTTATGTTAGGGGTCTTCAACATGTTAATTGACACATGCTGGTTTGATTTCATGAGTAAAGCTGAGGAATGATTTCTCTTCAGTGGTTGTTTGCACGAGAGAAAATATACCAAATGAGATATTTCTGAACATTAGGTGACTTTTTACTCATTTTGGGTGCCAAATATTTGGTCTGGCCAGTCTTTGTTTTCTTGCACTTGATTATGGGAACATGAAACACACTCTATGTTTATCAAAGCCCCAGATTCATTAGTTGCAGTTACACAGCTGAGATTACTCCCATTCATAGACACACAGCAATTTTTCAAGTCTGGCATCAGCAGGTCTCATTCTTTGCAGCAACAGTTTTCTTGCTCAGTCGACAGCAGAGCAGTGACCACAGTTGGACAACTAATGTTCTGAGGTTTGTTGTCTTTATGCTTCTGCTGCCATCCTCTGAGTCTCATCCTTCATTTGATTTAGCTTTTCTTCTGTGAATGAAATGACCTGTGACTGTCCTCATAATAGTCCATGAGGTAATTGTCATTGCATTTATCTCTTGAGGTTCCAGAAAGTCGAACACAGGCATGAGTGAATGGAGTGAATGAATATTCCGATGATTAGATTTAGGTTCTCCCCTGATGAAGATCTCTAAGGCAGTTAGCAAAATGGCCATTCCAGGTAACTAGTTTCTGTTTTTACTAGTCAGACTCAAAAGCCAACATGTAAAAATCACACTTTGTCATCCCTGAGTAGTACTTTCTTTTTCTTTTTCTTTTTTTCAATTTTTATTACAAGCCCTTTAGGGATTGACTTGTCTTTTGTGGACAGTGAACTGTCTTTAGTGCTTTTGGAGCTGCTTTGCTCACAAAAACCTATCACATATACACTCCTGATAAAAATCTTCAGACCGGTTAAAAAATTGCATGAATTTGCATTTTGCACTGTTGGATCTTAGGAAGGTTCTAAGTAGAGCTTCAAAATGCAAAAAGAAGAAATGGGAACAAGAGACCAAAAGTTTTGAGCAGGCAATTTATTGAAAACAACAATTTAACTTAAATAGGCTGCTCCACATAGCCAGCTGCCGTTTGACGCCCCTGCACAACCTGGAGCTCCATTGTTCCACTGAAGGAAAAAGCACCCCAGATCATGATGGCGCCCCTCCACTGTGCTGCGTAGAAAACATCTCAGGTGGCATCTCCTTGTCATGCCAGTAACGTTGGAAGCCATCAGGACCATCAGGGTTACATTTTTTCTCGTCAGACAATAAAACTTTCTTCCACCTTTGAATGTCCCATGGTTGGTGCTCCCTTGCAAAGTCCAAACGGGCAATTTTGTGGCATTGAAGAAGACGTGGCCTTTGAAGACGTTTCTTGTTGTTGAAGCCCTTCCTTCCATCTGATGGTTATTGGGCTGCAGTCAGCACCAGTAATGGCCTTAATTTGGGACGAGGATCGTCCTGTGTCTTGACAGACAGCCATTCGGATCCTCTGGCTCAGCGCCGGTGAGATTTTTTTGGGTCTACCACTTGATTTTTTTGTTCCACAACCCTGAGGATCTTTAAAGAAATGCAAAATGACTGTCTTACTACGTCCAACTTCAGCAGTGATGGCACGTTGGGAGAGGCCTTGTTTATGCAGCTCAACAATTCAACCACGTTCAAAGACGGTGAGCTTTTTTGCCTTTGCCATCAAGAGATCTTCACAGTGTGATTACTTGACAGGAAATGACATGGAATCCAAATTTTTGCACAGATTTTGGCTTTTAAAGGCTGTGGTCTTAAACTTTTGATCAGCTGATGAACAGCCTATTCGAGTTAAATTGTTGTTTTCAATAAATTGCCTGCTCACAACTTTTGGTCTCTTGTTACCATTTCTTCTTTTTGCATTTTGAAGCTCTACTTAGAACCTTCCTAAGATCCAACAGTGCAAAATGCAAATTCATGCAATTTTTTAACTGGTCTTAAGAGTTTGATCAGGAGTGTATATTAGTATATTGGTTGACAGTATTAACCCCATTACACAGTGTTAACAACTGTTATAAACACAGGCCATACCTGGCCATATCCTTTATACATCATGTGCCTGGTGCTGCAGCACATTTCAACCTCTATGCTGTGACCCAACTGATGCAGATGCTTGTTGGATGTTGAGTAGAATTTCCTATTTCTTACCAGACAACTCATTCATTCATTTATGTGAGTTCAATAATGAAATAATAACATTTGAGTCAGAGCCAAATGGAACCAAGTTTTGCTGAAATTCTGTTTGTTTACGCTGAGGATGAAGAAAGTCTGTCTCAACTTGACCAAACCTTCTGTTTTTGTTTTGTGGAAGTTTTTCCAAACACTATGAAAAGCATTATAACAAACAGTCAATTTAAAGTTGTTGGCATGCTGGACAGTATTTAGTTGCCATGATAGTTTGGTCTCAAATATTAAGTGTATCTTCCTAATTTCAAATAGACATGATTAAATGAACTACATTGAACACTGACATTTTCTAGGTTTTATGAAACCTTTCATTAAGACTGCATGGATGTGGTATGATTATATTTCTGAAGACTTGCTTTAAAAAAAAATATGGTGAAAATTTAACAGAACAGTCAGAAAATACAATCATGAAGTATGCACGAAATGTCAGCTATTGGCAGTTAATTCTAAAAGTGTTGTTATATGCCTGCATGAAGCCACAGTGTCAAGTCCTAGCACACGCTCAGATAAATAATAACAATAAGACATCCTAAAGGCTTACTCACACATATTGTATACATGCATGTTTTTGCCAACCACTGATGGTTTTTACTTTTCATACATCACCATTAAACTTCACCGATGCAAGTGGCTGGCATAATATCTCTCAATATGTAAGGATTTATACTGGTCGCTAGGAAACAAATGAGCCCACCTCTGTTTGCTCATTTATCACCAGGGTGTCCTTCCAAAGTCCCTCCACCGTAGCGTTATCCTTTTCCTTCCCCATGCTACCACTGTGTTGTCTCTCTTATTTATTCCCATGTCTCTCTCTCTCTCTCTCTCTGTCTCTCACTCACTAGATAGTATATGTGGCTCCAATGAAAGCCTTGGCAGCTGAGATGACTAATTACTTCAGTAAGCGATTGGAACCACTGGGCATCACTGTTAAAGAACTCACTGGAGACATGCAGCTAACGAAAGGAGAGATCCTACGAACACAGGTACTCGCATGCTGTCACTGACACTCACACATACTGTACATACGCCATGAGATCTCTCATGTTTCCAAAAAGTAGTTCAAATTAAGGGGACCAAAAGCAGTTCTCTCATCTTAACATGTACATTCTCTAGCACCCCCAAGTGGAATGGATTGTGACATTTATTGGAATTGTGGCTAATATTAATCACAAGTCTAGTCTAAATGCTATAACTATTATTTTGTAGTTGCTTTTAAATACAAAAACAATTTAAAAAAGCCCTGGTTTTATTGCCTAAGCATCTGTTGTTCTTTCCCGTTGCTTAATGAATGGAAGCGTCTTGTTTAACAGACCACTATAATTGGAATCCCATTGTCCTTTTTTCAACACAGCATTGCTGGTTTATCTTATATCTTTGTAGTATTTTTTCCATTTTGGCACTTTGCCTGGTCATGCACTGCAAGCTGTCATGCACTTTGTGTTCTGGCACTTTTCAAGCATTGCCAGAATTAAGATTTACAGCAGTTTGCACTTAAATAGCTTCTCTATGGGATCAAAACCCACTGGCCAGCCTTTGGCCCCAACGCACATCTTGAGCCTTGGGTACCCACAACTGTACTTCTGGATCACATATTGGCACATTTTGGTTCATTTTTGGTAGCTACTACCCACTGCATACCAGGAGCTCCACAAGAACTGTGCTTTGGTGATGCTCTGTCTGAGTTGTCTAGCATTACAATTTGGCCTTTGTCAAAGTTGCTCATTTCCTTGTGCTTGATCATCTTTTCTGCTTCCAACACATCATCTTAAAGAGCTATCTGTTGGCAAGTGTTATTCACATCACCTGTCAGTGGTTTTAATGTTGTGGCTGATCAGTCTAAAGCTTCACGGTCGCTGAAAACGCATCAGTTAGCCATTCTAAATACTGTTGTTTGATTTTTGTTAAATCCCTCGTACACTGTCCTCTTACGGGAAATACTTATTAGAGCATGCAATGTGGGTTGATCAACCAGTGAAGATAGTCTTCAGTTCTTGCTTCAAGAGTTAACTTCAGTCGAATGGCTTAGAGTCACAAGTGACTGATTTTTATAAATCAGCATTGTGGAATTATCTACAAATACATGATGTTTAGGTATAAAAGATGTGTAGCACACCAAGAAGGAGCAGAACAGCAGTTTGCTACTGGCTGCATTCCAGGGCAGCACACACAAAATCTAAAGAACCTTTCTCACAGCTGTACATTTTGTCGGACAAAATTTAAGAAGACAGCTAGAACTGAACTGAACTTTATATCCACTGTACATGAGACACAAACACCTCCCTTCTCTCTGTCACCGTCGTAAAAGACAGACACAACATTTATCGTACATTTACAATTCTAAGGTCTTATTTTCCTGTTGTTAAATGTACATGCTTGTGTTCTTAGTTATATAAACTATATGAGATAAACATGTCATGTTTGATGTCATTTTAATCCCCTGTTCAGTGCTATGTCAGACCTGTAACCATAGTAGATATTTAACAATTGGATTTCTATGTTTAAGAAATGAACTCAGAATAATGGTATTTGGCCTCTGACCTCTCCTGGACACTGAAGCTCAAGACCAGCCCTTGGGATGAACACAGCCATGATTGGTTAGATGCTGATTGGAATTTGGCTCCAAGACTTTTGTATCAAACAAAAATCACCAGATTGCCACTTCGACTTTTTTTTGTTAACTGTCAAGTTTGGAATTCTTTAATAGGGGCTTTTTATTGTCAACTTTTGGGGTTTCACTTTGATAATGGCTTCTCTTTTTGTAACTGGACTTTTCTTTGTTAAGTAATGGGCATCATGTGTTATCTTTTTCAGTGCAAATGCGTGAAAGTTTTCTACGTCGCTCTGAGCTTTGACACTGAGAATTTTTACTTTGGCACTTTTTCAATGCAACTATGCAAAAGTGCCGTCCTGTCTCTGTGTTCCTGAACCACTTCCTCTAGAATATCGTCACAGCAACACATCCTGCTGCAGCGCTCTCTCTTTCCCTCCCTCTCCTGACATTGCACGCTGATCCTGCAGCTTCAACAAAGTCTGTGCCAGTAATACTTTCTTTTTGCTTAACAGGTGAATTTAGAATTTGCAACTGACTTCTCAATTCTGAAGTGTTTCTAAGTTGATCAGCGCTCTACGAACTGCTTTCAGTAATGATCACTGTTAATTATTAACTTTGTTTACCTGTCTTAATCAATTCACTGTCTGTTGTTTGTTGTGTCATTGTTGTCTCATATCGTCTTTGTAGCAGTAGATACTATATGTTTTGTGTGTTACCATTAGTGCTACTGTATGTTTCTTTTTTGGGGAACTGGAGGTCAAGGACATCAGAATTCACAACTTCTGATTATTAAGACTGAATAATACAATTAGATTTGATAATTTACTCATAGTCAGTGTGAAATATTAATATGATTTCCACATTATATCTGGTGGTACACAGACAAATCAGTGCAGCTTTAAACTTAAAAAGTAGTTTAAGCTATTACACAAGATTACAAGTCTCCGCTCCAGTTACTACTGGCAGTGCTTAAGTTCTGCTACTCTTTTTTTTGTAGTAAGAATCAGAAAAAGAAAGTATGATCAAAGGCCACACAGGTCCACCATGCTGATGTTAAGAGTGACTGCATGATGTACTATTTTGATAATGAATCATTGTTTGAAGTTTATTTACTGTACAGTGATCGCTCTGTCTAATTTATAGTCTTTGTTATATGTTAGTGTGTGTCTTCCTGCTTCACCTGGCTGTCTTTATTAAGATCTCACACTGCTCTTCAAGGGTGGTATTCCTTATTGACCACAACAGTTTCTTATCTACAGTAGTCTACTGCTCTAGTTTGTTCTGTGACAGGACCTACAGAGTGGCTCTGTCAGCACTGCAACACAGTCCAAGCGCTAATGATAAACTAGTGGCTGTTTTCTTGCACAGATAAGTGCTCAGTGCCACACAGCTGGGGTCACAAAGGATCAGAAGTTAGCTGTGAAATATCTTTTCAATGACGTTTAGAATTTCTTATTTGAAGATTGTATATTTGCAGCTGACAAATAATTAGATTATCGCAGCATTGTTTGGTAAATGAGCAGGATTGTGTAAAGGGTCAGTTCCCATGAGACATTGTTTTAGTTTCGTTCTCTCCTCATATTTAGCTATACACCTTATTATTACTTTGTCCTTAATTTTACCTTTCAAACTAATAGTTTGTCCCCTGAGGCCATGCTAATGTGGGTCCACATAATGTTTTGGATATTAGGCAGTGTAATTCATTATATATTATTAAAATCAAAATTCTCTTTTTACTGTATCCCTATTGTTGGAGTTTTGCCGGTTTCAGTGCAGCTTAAAATATGACCATCTGCACCTGCTGCTGAATCATAATTGATTATAGTCCATCATAAAATGTTAAATTGATTCCTATCTTGAGACAGTTATTGGTGAAGAGCAGTTAGAATAAGTATAGTATACTGTACTTTCTAAAAGAAGTATACTACATAGTTGAATGCCACAAAAGCGATCAGAGCAATGCTATTTGTGAACCATACTCATCAGACTTGACTTATGGACTTATTCCCAAGCAGAAATATAGCAGATGGATGTCGCCTTTTCAATTCAGATTTTTTTTTAGACTGATTCCAATATTTAAAAGTTGATTAAACCTATTAACAATTTTGACTGATCGGTACAGTATGTACACACATACACACACATGCATATTAATATTGTGTTTCCATTCGGTTAGTCAGAGACCCTTTTACGTCTGCCATTACATCCCAGTGAGTGCATAAACAGCCAAACCATCCATCCATCCATTATCTATACACCGCTTAATCCTCACTAGGGTCGCGGGGGGCTGGAGCCTATCCCAGCCGACTTAGGACACCCTGGACAGGTCGCCAGTCTATCGCAGGGCCACACTTAGAGACAGACAACCAAGCACACTCACACTCATAAGGACAATTTAGAATCACCAATTAACCTCAACATGTTTTTGTGCTACCAACTGCGCCACCCTGCAGCCCACAGCCAAACCAATGCTAGATTTTTTGTGACTAGTACCAATTGTTCTCTACAGATTTAAAGATGTTTTTAAAGAATTAGGATCAAAATATGCACATGTAAAAACATGTGTTAAAGCTCTCCTGTTGAGAAATTATACACCGGAGATGAATCAGAATTCTACACATTATGATAGTCTGTTTAGCTTTAGCCTTTTGCTGTCGTTTCCCTTTTTGCCTTTCTTCTTGGCAAATGCAGTCTTCCAGTTGGGTATACTGTATGCGTTATGGACGAGTGAGTTTATACAGATGCGGTTAGCCAAACAAACCATTGAGAATGTATAAAGACAGTCTGACAATTTCTAGAGTTTTGAACTTAATAACATAAAGCAACAGTTTCGATAAGAGTACCACAGATTTGTTGAAATTGCAGCGTACCAATGGCCATCTCAAACCCACAAATTCAGATAGCCAGGGTTTCAAATGTGATAACTCTAAGGAATCAATCCTAAAGAGAGAGATGGGAACTTCATAGGTCTGCACATTGTAGAGGAAGCAACCGTGTCGAGTTGTTGTCCCAAAGCTGCCACAAATAATCAGTAAAGCAGCAAATGTGGATTCATTCATGACTAAAATAGTCCCAAATAAATGCACTGTTTTTTGTTGTTTTTTCCCCCCCTGTTTAATTATTGTTTGCTAAAAACCAGAGTGGCTAAGAGTTGTAGGGAAAAAGTGGGGTTCTTTTTGTTTTGTTTTTGTTTGTTTGTTTGTTTTGTTTTTAAGTAAACCCAGATATCTGGGAGTATTTTTGGGGTAAGCCCATTGGTTCTTCAGTACTACAAAATGATGGGCTCAAGGCTAGATACCACAGATAGTGTGGATAAGTCAGAAGATACTAAGGGATGGACCAACACATTGCTGGATTTGGCCTTTTTATAGTATTTGTTAATAATATCACGACTATAAAATCACACCAGTTGTATTATTTAAGTTGGAAGAG